TCAGATGCGATTTGACGCATTATTGGCGAATTTGTTCGCCTCTTTTTGTATATATGCATCGCAGCCTTTCAATTTTAGAACTACAAAAGCTGGAATAATTCTTTAGGTATTTCCCCCCATCTAAGCACTTTTCCCCAAAAGACAAAACCAGGAGTCACCTTACAAGCCTTACGCCTAAAGGAGTGGGAAATTTGATGTTGCTGAGCTACATTTCGCGATAAAGAGTCAATATGTGGATTCAGTTTCTACGTCTAATGGGGAGGGGGGGAGGGCGGAACGGTAGGGGGGCCTGCTTAAAAAAATGCGTGCTTACGCCGAATTGCTGCTATTGCTGCGAATTGTTCTCTCTCTGTGATTGTCTTCCTCTCTCAGTATTGCTATTTCTTGCCCTCCAGTGTGCAAAAACATATGTTTAAAGAAATTAAAAACAGCTCTCTTTCGAGATTTTTCAAAAAAACCATCAAAGCCTCTTGATCGGTATGGTACCTCAACATTGTCAGTGTTTGGAAGATGATGGTGTTCAGTCACATGCATACAGACATATACGCAAACAAGTTGCTGTGTACACACACAGACAACCTCATATACATTTTGTGCAACTGTTGCACGGCACAAAATATATAAAAATACACCAAAGGCATCTCGGAAATAGTGCTCCCGCTATAGAAAACGTAAAATTTATAACTCAGAAGACATGATTTGACAGCAAATTACTAGAAGATGATGCATCATTAGCCATAGCAACGGGGAAAGTTTTTCTCAGTGTCACGAAACACATCAAGAAATACTTGGGAAATTCGTTAAACTTCCGAATTATTTTTTTAGATTTTTATAGTATTATCCAACATTTTTACAGTATTTTTATAGTATTATCCAACAATAACACATTTTTATATATTTACGAACAAAAACGTAAACGGTGAGAGAGGAGGAGTTAGTTCACGGGTGCGCCGTATGCATCCGGCATACGTTCTATTGAAAATCGATGCTGTCGTATGTACATAATTGGTACACCGGGAATTTTGCGTATCCTTCGTTTCAAATCTTTGTCACAGGTGGCAACAATGTAGCATTTATGCTAAAAAAAAGAACTTCTGATAATGATAACAATATATGAACGTGACTATTTTACCGCCAGATTCTTAGATGGTCTTGGATCAGCTGCAGTTCGTAGGGTATTTCACCAACTGTGCTCTGATGGCCTTTGCAGTTGCCGTAGAGAGCCAATCAACCTGTTTCTTACCAAAGAAAGGCAAAAAAAGGTTAACTACTTTATATGATTATCAAATGGCGGAAGTAACTCATCATACAGAATACCCAGGCTCAAAAAGTTTCATAGAAATACTTGACATTCTCCGCTTCTCAGACTATTAATAACTAATAAGGATTCATGTCATTCTCTGTAATATAATTTATATTTATTCTTAATTTAGTCTAATTTGTTGATTTAATTTATTTAATCTAATTTAATTCGTTTTATTCTAATTTAAATTTTTAATCTAATTTAATTCATTAATTTGATCCGTAGTAAGTACGTAATTTACCAAAACTATCTGCCACTGAACTGAAATATATGAAAAATTACGCACTGTATATTTTAAGAATTGAGTAATGATAGTACCTGAGTGACACGTTGCACAATGCAATCATCAGCATAGACGCCTTTGTGTGAACATATCAGACGTTTGAAACGACTATCTTTGATAATTTTGAGCGCCACCTTACATCGCTGCCCCAGCTTCTCCAGTTCACCAACAACACAGTCCGTTACGTACGGGATTGCTAAAAACAGACAAGTTTATCATCACTAATACAAATTAAATAACACTGGAAAAGCCTTCAATACGGTGAAAAGTTCTAACTGAGTGCCTCCTTAAAGTTATGCGATCGTAGTGTACTCAAAACATAGGAGAATGAAGAAGCTGCCAATTATCGAACAAGAGTGAAAAATATGATGATGAAAAAAACCCAAGCAAAGTTCAAATTTTGAAAAAAAAGTGGATTTCTGGCCAAATACTTTAAGGCATAAAAAGTTTGGAAGTGACGTCTTCAGAATGAGTCAGAGAAAGATACGATGATGAAAAAAATCTAACCAAAATTCGAATTTTGGAAAAAAAAATTTTCACAGACGAAGCATCCATGGGTTCCCGGCCAAACACTTTAAAGCATAAAAAATAAGTTTGGAAATGTTTTTAAAAATGAATCGGTTGAAACTCACTTTTTGCATAGAGACAGTCCATAAATCCTTGCATCATATCAATTCTATATTTGATGGAAAAATTGACGAAATTTGTGTCCACAATAACATGAAATGGTGGCCCGAGATCGGTGTTATATTTCAAAAACATTGCAGATGGTATCTGAGGCCTGGAATATCGAGATTATTGGGCAGTATAACTTCGGAAATATAAAAAATTCCATGCATTTTTCCTAAGCAATTGTTGCTTTTTCGCTAGAATTCTCAAAATTTGTCACATAAATGGGGGCATTGAGCATCAACGGCCCCCACAGGAGACAAGGACTTTTCAGAAGAAAAAAATTTAAACTCATCCAGGAGACTTACTGTCTGATAAAAACGTACACGGACTGATATACAGGAAGAGAAAAAACTTACGCGTGAATAACTTTCAATTCCTGGTCATCTACTTTCTTTTTCTTCCTGATAACACGCTCGCTTTCTTTTCTGCA